CCGTGCATAGCACGGGCAACATTATCTAGTTTTCATAATAAACATAAGCCACTTATAGTAATATAATATAATATAATATATAAGAAAGTATTATGTATGTGAAATACTCCCTTCGTCTCATATTAGTTGATCACTATTAATTTTTTACGATGCTTAAAAAACATAAATAAGAAGATTATTTTTCAAGTTCACGCCTTCGAAAATACTTCTTGTGAATTATACAAACAAATATGAATACTTTCAAAAATAAAATTAATTGCAAGAGTAGTAAAAAAAATTATTAAAATTTTATTGATTTAGTAAAGTGATCAACTAATATATATTAATTATATTTAATATAATGATAAATTAATATGCAACAATTATATTTAATATAATAATAAACTAATTTTCCATAAGTTCACTTTTAATTGTCACATTTTTTTTTAGAGAAAAATATAAAAATTTTGACTAACAATTTACGATATATTTTTTCATCATATTAATATGCAAATAATGGCTATTTGTAGTTCTTTTCGTATAGTTTTGAAATATAAAAATATTTTTCTTAAAATATCGATTTAATATAATCATATTTTATTTTAAAAATTGGTCAAATAAACTTTCAAAAATTAAATATGACAATTAAAAGTTGACGAAGGAGGTATAAAATGAAGGAAGTAATATAAAAGAATACAACTTTTTAGGTATATTGATTAGTGTGCCTTGATTGTATCGTAGACTTCAATGTATGCACACATTTCAATATTTCCATCTTTCTTTCGTTATTTTTAATTAAACAAAATGGCAATGGGCCAATTTATCGAATAACAAAAAAATGTAAACAAAAAGTTGGAGGAAAATGTCAGGTAGTAGAAAATAAGAAAAAACAAAATGAAAACTTAAAAAAATTGGATCTATCTAGATTGTGGAAGGAAACCAAACTTGCACCGATGGAATATGATTTTTGAGATTAGGAAAGTGAGCTTTCTCTTTAGATCGTCGCCGGTCAGAGCTACTCCGTCATCTATTAGCTCCTGTGAGCTTTTCCATCTCACTGTAAGTGTTGTTCCTTTGTTTTCTTTATATTCTTCTCTTACCCTTTATCAATTGGGTTTTTTCTAATTGTTAATTTTTTCATTTGCTTCCTTGTAAAAAGTTTCTTGGAAGAACAAAATCTCTAATTTGAATCTCATCACCATAACTTTGGTAAAAAATAATCTCATTTGAACATTTGAACATTCCAATTAGAACAAAGCCTAAGAAAAACTTTATTCAAGCAGGTATCACACTGGAAATAAGATTTTGATCGGAATTGTATTTAGATCTAGAGTCATTCCGTCAACAATCGTATGTTTCGTGAAATGGTGAGTTCATTTTTTCTTTATTTTTTGAATTTACCTTGTTTAATAAGAACTTCGATTAAAGAGTATTAGCATGCATCAGCTTCTTGTCGTGGATTTAATTTTGCAAAAATTATCAGTTGATGTCTTCTTCAGCTCTATTTTGCGTCGATGTTACTCTATTTGGGATGGTCAACTAAGGTATTATATTTTAAATTTAATTTAATTAGTACATGTATGCTATAACATAATTGTAATAAGCTTATGTTGATTTTGTTAATTTGCTTGGTGATTGAGAGTTTATGATGTGGTCGTATAAATTTTTATGTTCTTTGCAATGTAAGGTTAGATCTCTATCTTTGTTTTTTATTTTCTGCTTAACCATGTTGTTAGAGTAGATTGTGATGAATTATTGCTTCTTGAAGGAGCAGGGAACTGATTATTTATTTTTAAAAATTCGAAAAGATGTCTTACATCTAAAAATATGTAGTTAAGCTATTTTATTTTCCTCTCAATTTGGTTCTTTTTACAGCAGTCTCTATATTTTAATCTGATTTATATTGATATTTTCTGTAGTTTCAATGTGCTTATACCTATATTATGATTCATGGTTCAGATGAAGAGCTTAATGATCTAATTCATATGCTTGATAGATTATAATTCAGTTTACTAAAATTAACATAACGTAAATAATTGTGTGTTTAGTTGGTTAAACTTATTGGAGTCTATTTTTAATGTGCTGCTTATGTGAAATATCTAAAAGCATATATGAACTCCTTTAAATACTTGTTACAGGATAGCACGATTAAATCTAAAGTTTAAAAAGTATATAGAACCAAGCCCTCCATTGCATATATATAGTTTAGTTATAAAAAAATAATGTCAACATGCGGTTCCACTTGATATAATGAAAGAGACTGATACTATCTTCAAAGCACACTCAATTACTTAAGTGTGAAATTGTTCACTATATGCATAAGTGTATTCTTCCCCTCTGTTTTTTCAAACTCTTGATACCAATTATTCAAATTCAAGAACTCAAAATATCAGTTGTATTATCTGCCACTGTCAATAAAAGAGTTAACAATATTAATCTATTTAAAATATTTTAAAACATTATAATTATTATAAATCTTTATAAAACAAAGTAATGATAAAAGAATAATGGAAATATTAGAGAAGACTAAAGGAAATATTAGAGAAGTATAATGAAAAAATTTGAGATTAAAATTTTACCTGAAAATGTATAATGCAAATACTAAAGATTAAAATTGTACCTGAACATTCATTATCAGTATTTATCCTTTTAGAACTCTTATTTCTTCTGATTGCACAAAACACTTTCTAACGTTTTTTGATTGTCATTAGCTTGAAAAAACAATGCAAAAAAAGGTATATCAATCAATTTACATGATAAAAATTTAAAATTAATAAATTTCTATATTAATTAAAGTAATCGCATAACATTTTAGATCATATAATGTTATCTTTAGGTGTACTACATAGAACACAATATTATTAAAAATTATTTAGTTAGTTAAAATAGCATACCTCTAAATGATACCATAATTATAACAGCAACTTCATCAGAATTATTTTATAATAATCATCAATAATTACAGTATATATAAAACATCCCAAAGAATCTGCATATCACAATAGATTTCGGAACACTTCTTTATATACTACATTTATAGCCTCATCAGTTAACTGTCCGTCATCATTGTAACTCAGTATTTTTAATCCCTTTCTACTTGTTACTCTAGAAATAGCTACATAAAGTTGTCCATGGGTAAACACTGATTTCTTCAAAAATAATTCAACATGAGATAAAGACTATCCTTGGCTCTTGTTGATTGTCATGGCAAATGATACAGTTATAGGAAACTGTCTTCTTTGAAACTTAAATGGGATTCTAGCATCTGAAGGTGTTAAAGTCATTCTTGGAATAAATACCTTCTGTCCAGCCATCTGTCCAGATAAAACCTTTGCTTCAATTACTTGATTTTCAAGTTTAGTAACAATCAACCTAGTTTCGTTACATAGTCCTGCTGCCTGATCAATATTTCTTAGTAACATCACTGAAACTCCAACTTTTAAAGTGATTGAATGATTTGGAACTCCAGAACATTTAATAGTGTTCAAAAAATCTGGGGTGTGTACATGTTCCAAAGCTGAATAAGTATGATTAGACTTGCATATTTTGTCAGAACTCAAATATGATTTCTCAGGATTATGATTCAAGGAGATCATATATTGATTGATTGATTCCACCATATCAAAAGTTGGAGCAAGAATGGCTCTTTGTTGTAGGTATCCAACATCATTACAATTAGTACTAAAATCTGGATACGTAGTTTCCACAATAGCTGCTATTGGATCAGTAGATTCAGTTATTAGAAGATCCTTTGGTATTAAAACTTTATCAATTCCATCAAATGAATTACCAATACTACCATCCCCAACAGCCAATATCCAATCAGAAAACTCTTGCAACTCTTTTAGATCAGTATCAGCGTCACTGTTTTGCAACTTCATATTCTTTGTCAGTGTTAATAATTCACAATGGGGCCATAAATATGAAGAGTTGAGAGTTGCATTAACAATATCTTGTCGACTACCTTTTGGGATCACATGAAGAATTTGTCTGAAGTCACCTCCAAGAACAATTATTTTACCACCAAATGGTAATTCTGACTTAGTTGCGTCTTTATAGCTAATAATATCTCTTAAAGTCTTATCAAGAGCTTCAAAACAATGTTTATGCATCATTGGAGCCTCATCCCAAATAATCAACTTAGTCTTGATTAACAAATGTGCTAAAGGAGTACCTTGTTTGAAATTACATGTTGAATCTTCAGTCATATTTAGCGGGATAACAAATCTTGAATGTGCTGTTCGGTCACCTGGTAATAAAAGAGATGCAATCCCGCTAGATGCAACTGTTAAAACATCTCCTTTGGACCTTATGGCAGCTGAGAGAGTCTTCCAAATATAAGTTTTTCATGTTCCTCCAAATCCATATAAAAAGAAAAATCCACCCATATTTTCATTAACTGCTGCCATTAATTTTTTTTATACACTGATTTCTGCTCATCCGTTAAATTTAATACCAATTGTTGATGTTCATCAGCTAAAGCACGTTTGTTGTAACACATTTCATCACAAATTAATCTATTGGTGATGTCAACATCATCCTCAGTGTAAACATGTATTGACATTGTAGGAAAAATCTGAAAAACTTCTTCCACAACTTTTTTAAAAAAACTTTCTAGTCTTTTGCAAGCAACAATTCTTCAAATCAGCATCTGATAGATAAGCTTCTGAAAAAATAATATAAATATATAATAAATTAGTATTTAAACATAAATATAATAAACTAATTAATCAAACAAAAATAATATAGAATTCATGATAATAATAAGATTTAATTTAAATTTAAAATAGTATTGGGTACCTGGTTATCTAATACTCTTCTTTGTTCATGAAGAATATCTTCAGATAGTAAATGCCATGTTGATTGCCAAACAACCTTCGGACGTGACATTGAATTTGATATAAGTAGCATTGCAAATAATTGTCTTAGATATGATGGCATTCCCCAATGACTTGCTTCTACTATAGCATCAACATATTCTTTGTCATCATTTAATAATCCTAAAGCATAACATGCATCTCTAAAAGTCTCATGATCAATATCATTTATTCTTCTGATATCCTCATATGAACTGGGACCTCTAACAATATTCAATAACAATCTAAGATAATATTGCTCACCAGATCCCGGTGGAACAAAGAAAATTCTTCTAATCGAAAATGCAGAAGTTTTTCTTTATCCCATCTCTTAGATTGTTGCTTCCAAACAAACTTTAAAGGAAATTCTGCATAGGTTAAATCTCTTGCTTCAGGAAATTCCTTGTTTTCTTCAAACTAACTTAAAAACTTGGATTCCTTTATGGTTGGTTTATTGATGACAACATCAATTGGATCATCATCTGAAAATATGATATTCTGATTGCTTGGTAAATTAAAAGATAACCTTTCTACAGAAGGTTCTCTATGGTGGATTGGAAATTTAAAGATTCTCCAAGCTGCTTCACATGGTGATATATACCGACAATCACAATACATATTTATTTCATCAACCCCTCTTGAATCTGAAGAATTCGCACTATCACAAAAAGCAACTGTAACACGGTCATGACCTTTATTAACATACTTAAATAAGTATTTAATTGACCTTGATTGACTGCACCATTCAACATTAATATGCACCCCATATTTCAACAACAAAAATCTATTATGTGGTACAACATATCTATTATCTAAATCAATACCTGATCTCTTTGTAGATCTCCCATCATCTCTTCTTCTATATACAGGATATCCCTCCTCATCAATTGAGGTAGAAGAATAAACCTTTTTGGAAAGTGTTTTGAACATTTTTCATTTTGCATGCAAGGAGATGATTTTCTAACTGAACCATATGGGCCATGTCATAAAGTTTGTAACAGCCACATAATAATCCGGATCAAGTTAATTTATTTGGTAATTCAGCTGAAATAATATCATCAATATCACCAATATTTGGAGATTTTATTATGTAGAAATAGCAAAATATGCGCATGAGGCAATCCACGCTTTTGAAATTCAATAGTATAAATCACTGAATCAAAGGATAAATATGATATTATTTTTTATTACTGTTTCAAATTAAAAACAAACAATTGTGGTATAATAATAAGGCAATAATATACCTGCTTTTACTTGTCCAAAAATGTTGTCGTCTCGCAAATCCTTTATCAGGTGATCTAATTTGACTTTGAAGACTCATTATAATGTCTGGCCGATCTTCTGGAGCCAATCCCCTACTGTTCACAAATCTAGTGATCTCAGGCCATTTAGGATTGCAAGTAAATGTAATAAATAGATCAGGATATCCAGCCCATTTACATACTGACATTGCATCTTGATAATTTTGCAACATGTAACGTGTACCTCCAATGAAAGAAGAAGATAATATTACTCTTTGTCCTTTAGAAGAAGGTTGAGTGTCTCCTTGTAAAACAACTTCTTGTAATCCCTTATAGAAGTCTGCTCTCAAATGTGTTTGATGGAGCCTATAAAATAGCAATCGAGAAGATTCTATCATTGTATATCCATCTACCAAGAATTGTTGAAATAATCTTTTAGCCGATACAATTGTTGGTACTTCA